CTGGAATCAACGGGGAAGCAGAGTGAGCAAAGCTAACTGGGCTCCTGAGTGACCAAATCAGTCGTGACTTTGCTGATACAGCAGATGGGGTGTACAAACCAATTGTAGCCTTGACAACAACAAGTGGGGTGATGAAGTACCGCCGAGCATCCTATCTGGGTCTCACCTGCTCATTGCTATAGGCTACTGGATGCTAAACGAGAACAGCTGTACAGTCAATGCAGTTCTGCACAAATCACAGAGAGATAAACTTTTAAGGCTTTTTTGAAGTACAGGTTTTGACCTGGTCACAAACTTCATGCTCAAGAGAAATGTGGGAAATGATGATCAACAATTTATAGTCGAACTGGATTTTAAGTTTTGGGTAAGGTCCTAATAGGATTTCTAGTAAAACTTAAACATTATGGCCAGGCTTGCTGCTCTGATCCTGGTACTGCTTCCCGATTTCCCCTTCATCTTATTTCCTTCCCTTCACTGCACTCTCCGCCAGATTGCTCAGCTCTCTGTTTGAGGTTTTCCTGTTCAGCTGTGCACCAGCTCACCTCGCTCCAGCTCACCAAACCAACTGACTGTGGATTAATCCTATCTGTCCCACTCGCCAATCGTCTCCAGCTACCCAGTGGCCATCAGCCACTTGCCTTGCTCCAGCACCCCAGCCTCAGCCTCTACCTCTGGCTGAGTTCCTCCAGCCCCCATCACTCTACAACACCAGATGGCGAGTCAAAACTTCCTGCCTGCCACATCACATGCTGTTCATTTATTACTATAAATCTCCTTCAAATTTGCTCTTAACTCAGTTTCTTACATCCTGCTTTTGGATGTTCCAACCCAATATTATTCACAAAATAACATAAGAGGTCACGCTGAATAATCTAACATCCACATTAACAAGGCATTAAAATGCAAAGAGACATTTACAACAAGAACAAATGTCAGAGCTATGTCCTTGGAAATTGTTGTTTAACAATAAAATTAAATTAAAGAAAAGAATTGAAGTTAATGGGCTGAGTTTGCTCAGGTACTGCCAAGGCAAAGTCTGAATCAGTTAGTGTTACTATAATATCTGTTTTGGAACACATCTGATACAGTCTGGGAGGGAAATGCAGGATGTAGCTAACACATTTCAGATTTTTAATTGGGTTTAAACCAACTGTCGGCTGATATTGGCAGTGATTTGGTGCAGTTTATTTGTTTTATCAGTGCTTTTTGCTGAAAAGCTGCCTGCTACATCTAAAACGAATGAGTCTGAACCATCTGCTGGAGCAACTCTTTGCATATATATATTTAAACTATTGCATTTTTTTTAAAGATGCTGATCATAGCAACTTTAGGATGATTCTAGCTATTTTTATTTTATCTCAGTTTTCATCATGTGCAAAAGAAATGACAAAAAGTTCAGTTGGCAGTGATCATCGGGCTGATCCTGAAGTCACGGTGACAGCAAGTGTAGCGCATGTTTGAGTTAAAAGAGCAATTTAGCCGTTCAGCAAAAGGACAATAAAATAGGGGAAATGTCACTGCCAGCTAAAATAAACCACCTATTGTGTGTGGTTGTGTGTCAGGTGTTATAGAGAAACTCATATTGGAATTTTTGTTTTGACTGCAAGTGACAGAAGTTTCAGGGCTGATGATTTTTCTGTTCACGCCACCAGAACTTGAAACAATAGGATCTGACAGGCTCTGTTCTAGAAATTAGGATGCTTGCCAGACCATCACTGCCAGCAAGCCATAAATGTTTCATGTGGTGCTGATATGGTAATCATTGGACCCCTACAATGACACCTTGTGAGAGTTGGATAACGATGGCTGTCTTTCAGGCCTGTGTGACTCTGGACTCAGTCCAACAGCTGAGGCACAGCCTGAAGTGGGAATCTGTCTGCTAAAAAAGCCGAGCTGGATCCAATAGGTGGATAAAAATGTCAATAAGATGAACAATATGAAGGTGCACCAGGTGTCCTTTAGGCATCGCACAGCTATGGACTATTGCAGAGATATGCCGTACAAATACATTCCTCTTACTTAAATATGCATTCCGTTTCATGAGGTTTGCGAGAGGGTCCAGGTGCCCAGTGGTGGCACAGACCCAGCTGGAGGATGTGGCTGACTAGTGCTCAGGCTGGCATACTAACAGAGCCAGGGGTGCTTTTCACAGCGAGTTGAAAGAGGCTGGCGCTGAAGCCACGAACCCAGGATTCATAAACGCGAGCTCCAGCTGCATGCCCACTACCTCCCATATAGATAAAGAAATTAGAGACTAGAAGTTAAAAAGCATTTTTTTTAAACCACACCCAAGACTGGACTTGAATACTGGTCTTGTGACATTACCTGTCACATGCAGCAGATGCACGTTGATCACATCTTCCTGCTGATGTGAGCACGACCTGTGTGATACAATTTGCTGGTGTGAAGAAAAAAAAGAAACTTCGATGGGACGGAGCAATAAAAAGGGCAACATTTCTAAAACAGCTCAATGTATTATTTGTCTGAGCTTCGTGTAAGCCTTTTATTAAAGTGAAACAATCATGTCAGACACCTGTTGTTCTTGCAGGGGGTATTTATTGTTGGTCTATGTCAGCACACTGAAATCCCTGGATAGACCATGGCTGTATTAACAGTATGACCTATTTTTGGTCATCATAATTTCCTGAGCATGTGTGTGTGCGCGTGTTTGAGTGGGAGAGGCAGAGAAAGTGACAGTGTTCGTGTGTATGAGTGGGCATTTGTGTGTCCAGTGATTGCATGCACCATATTTTCTGACACCCAATGTCATGCAGAACAAATCGCCTATTGCTGACACCAGTGATTTCTTGTCTCTACTGCTGAGAAGTGTGTGTGTGGAGGCAAAACAGTTGGGTCTTACTGACGGGGAGTTGGACATTTCTGTGATTAAGTAGTAATGGTCCAGGACGTGACAGGGAAACTGGGGATTTCCTCGGTCACAGGGCAATAAGAACTGCACAGCTTGGGCCTGCGTGCTGCTATTTTTGGGAGTGTATATAATTATTTCAAGAGTTCTGCCACCAGAACTTTCTAAACTGATGTTTAGGCGCTCTGTCCACAAAATCCAACTTTACCGGGTGAATTGCTTGTGTTTGTGCCGAGGGATGATTGGCAGACATGAGTAACATTACGGCTTTAAAAGCAAAGAGGACTCTCATTATCCCACCACCTTCTCCACGCCTGCCTTGAATTCCAGTCTGCACTTGGACTTAACCCACTAATTGCGGCTTGAGTTCCTATGGTATTGTTGCATGCCTGCGGTTTAGTTTAAGGTTTTAGTTATATTAAGAGATGGGTATTTTAGCGTTTGTAATAGAATATGCAATCAGCCCAAACAATCACGGATGTGTGCAGCGTGATTTATGCACCTTGTGCCTCACTGTTCAGGGACTTGTTATGACTCGGTAGTGTGGAGCAACAGGGCAGTTTGTGATTTTAAATGTGATGCAAAAACGAGATGGAAACAAACAGTAATTGGAAGTTGATGTTTCAGTGGGAATATAAAACAGTTATTTGTGCACATAGGGCTGCAGTACTCCAGTGAGTCCTAGGTAGCTATAAATGATGCTCTGTGGACATCTAGTGGCCAATGCTGAGAAAACTGAAGCAGGATTTATTTAAAAGCAGCCCAGCTTTTTAAATCATCAGGCGCTATTACAGTAGTAATAAATCTTTACTTGCAGTAATGAGTGTAAGTCTTTAGTGGCCCCTCAATTCTTTGTCTTGTTTCCATATTATATTCTTGTAATGTGTTTTAAAGTGGTATTGAGCAATAAGTCTCCAGGCTTTCTGAAGGTCTTTCAAGTTTTTCTTTGGACGTTGGCTGCTTTTTCACTCATTTTCAATCGAGTCCACATACCTGAGTATGAATCTTTTTGTTTGTTTGTTTGTTTGTTTGTTTGTTTGTTTGTTTGTTTGTTTGTTTGTTTGTTGCGCTTTTCAACACTGTCCATTGAATTATCCAAGCTTAAACAGCACTTAACAAATTTAGCAGACCACCAGCTAGTCTAAGGTTCATGCCACAGAACCCTTAAATTAACAGTATTTACAACATTCTGAGGTTAGATTGTGATAGATCCAGTACTGATACTATCGATTCCAGTATTAGCAGTATAATATTTATTTACATTAGCCAGTGGAATGGGGAATTTGTTTCCAGCTTCTCAGCTCAGCATGTAGCCCACTGAACAGTTTTTCATTTTGTTTTTTTTGTTTGTTTTTTAAATGAAAAATATACCTCAAACATAAGTATACCTTTTTGTGCTGACTGTCTATTTTATTTATAATCTATTGCACATTTAAACAACACAAGTGGACTCAAAGTCCTTTAGAGACAGGTACATCTAGGTCTCCAAAAATCCAATTTCAAAGCTGTGCTTTATTGTTTTTGTTTCGTTAACTAATAATTGTGAAAAGTAAAAATCACAGTGATTTCGTGAACATTAAAATGTGTTCAGAATTTGCAAACTGGTGAGGATTTATCTCCTAAATCATGACACTCGGCTCTCCCCTACATATGCTGCCTTCATAGATTAAAAGTATCGGTATCATTGGTATCTGGCAATACTGGCCCTGAATTTACTCAATGGTATTAAAACATTTATTCATATATAATTTTCCTTTCATTGATGTTCTCCCCCAGTATTTCCAAGCATTAATCTATGTTAACCTACTAATCTGTGGGATTGCAGTCGAGGCTGTTTCATTGTCATGTGATACCTTATAGCCTCATTTCACACGGCCTTCTGCGCATCTACATGAGTAAGGACCATCATCCCTGTTCCGGTCCTTCCTGACCCTAAAGATATGAATGACACCCCGCCCGACCACCCAGCACGTCACGAAGCCTGACACAGCCAATGAAAATGTCCAAACCGGGTGCCGCTGATTAACGGACAGCTGCCTTATCCAACGGGAGCTTTCCGTGCGTCTTCATCCCCCGCCTGTGCTCTACGTGTAGCCAATCAACGCGCAGGATCAATTACTAATTCATTACTTCGCAAAGGGGAGTGACGCAGTTATTGTAGATGTATAGATACTCCATGCTTTTCTCATATGACCTGAAATTACATTTTTTTCAAGCTTTCACGCAAAACCAAAATCCACATAAACACAGCAAAGCAGAGGGATTCCCGCTGTCATCTGCAAGCTGCATGACCATTCTCTGCGCCCCTTGAATTTGGATGCCATTCCGGGAGGAGGTTGCGGTAAACCCCGAGGACTAGATGCGATAACCATAAGGAGACATGCCGCAGCCGAAATCACGAAAAATCGCCATCCTCGGGTACAGATCCGTAGGTGAGTATGGAACGGAAGCTGAGTACAGCGGGGAAAGGCGGCTTCGAGTGGGACGCAGACCCAAGATTTTTAGCGGCCTTTCAGGCCAGTACAAATCCAGCGTGAGAGCGCTTTACGCCTCCTATAATAGACTTAAATTATAGGGAGTAACATCTGACACGCGGCGTCTCAGGGCGGGCGAATGAGCGCCACCAGGTGAGACGTGGCTCTGCGGTGTGAGCGCAAGAGGCCTCCCATAACGTGTGCAAGAGAGAGATTTTAATCGATCTTATTGATAGGTTTCCGTTAGCCCTTAACCCCGGTGCCATGTTAGGCAGTGCCATGCCACGCAAAAACCATCGACGGCTTTGACGCATTTAGTTTGCGGTTTATTTAGTGATGTGTAAAAGCAAAGAAGCGCAGATTATGTGCGGTGAAAGGATGTTGAGGATGGCAAGATGGCACACACAGATAGCACGACTGGAGGCCCAGGCAGCACCAACTGCAACCCTGTAATATCCCCACAGAGACGCGTGATGTGTTTATGTTTTCCTGCTTTGTAGTAACCTCGACGATTTCTAAACATGTTCATCAGTATAGTACAACGTGCTTCATGTGGCGCATTTTAGGCTTGTTCACGGTTATTAAGCTTTATATTTGTATTTTTTTGTATCATTGTATGGCTACATTCACTCATAGAGACTGATCTCGACAAAAACAATCATAATAATGACTTCTATAGATGTTATCCCTTAATTGCTACACTGACTTCCTCCATCTGAGGTTAACTATCGTCTCTGTGTTTACAGGAAAGTCCTCTTTAACCATCCAGTTTGTGGAAGGCCAGTTTGTTGATTCCTATGACCCAACAATAGAAAACAGTAAGTGGGGATTTTTTTTTTAATTCATACAAAAACCGTGTTTCCCCCAGGAAACTCTTTACATGAGGCAGCACACAACTCAGGTCCCTGTCTCTCTTGTGAATCAGTAAGTGAAGCCTAGATGTATTGGCCCCAAAATAGCTGTTTCTGTGATATCCTATCCTCAGCATTGCTGCTCAGTGTGTACCAGCAAAGCTGACTATCAAGTTTATCCTTATTTATCATCCCGGCACTACAAATGTGTCAGTTTGTCATTAGATGCTCTTCGTACAGCAATGAATAAATCCTTACTGGTGCATCTTCTGTAAGGTCAGAACATCGTGTTCCTCATTATTTGTCATTTACTGTCAGCCCCACACTCGGATTTGCTTACAGCCGATTCTCACACCTGAAAAGCTGGAATGAGGATGTGTTAGCTTACGCTTTCCAGCTTTAAGGTTGTTCAGAGCACCTCGTGACAGAAGAAGTTAACCACCAAAGGATTTCATGGAGTGACAGTTGTTTTTCTTTCACAACTGGTTTATAATTACACTACATCAGGAGTACATCCACTGTTTTTGGTCAGATGCAACATTAAATATTAGAGCTTGACCAATATAGGATTTTCAACATTTGGTGATTTAAAAAATCAGATCTATCATCATATATATTTTTTTCTTTCAGATGTGAAGCACAAACAGATTTACATTTATTAATTGTATTATTATTTATGAGTCCTTATTTTAAAAAAAAAACATGACAGTGCTTATTAAAATAAACTTGTCTTATTGTCACAGTTAGTCTGGAATTTCCTATTTCTGCTCTGTCAGACTGCTCAGATCGGTGTTTGCTTTGTTTGTGGTATCCAAACACCTGCTGGCAAAAGTCAAGTCACAGAGGGCCCTCTAGTGGACAAAATGTGCAACATCAACACTCATATTTTGAAGGGTGTTTCTCCCGTTTCTTCTTTAGTCTTTAAATGTTCATTTATTGTCTTTTGATACCTATATATCAGAAAATAGCTAATAAGGGAAAATATTAGCTATTATTATAGCCATTATAGTTCATGTTTGCCTTTATTAGCTATTTGCCAATTTCATAGACTCCCACCGATATAGCTGCAGGACCGATATCAGTTGGGCTCTATTAGATCTTTAAACTGCACTTATATGGACGCAGATATCACACAGCAACTGTTGTACGTAAAACACAAGGTAGCTTTATAATCGCTGCTGTTTGAGTCGTAGTAGTACTACACATGACAGTAAGTGGAATGCATTTGTACGCATTGTGTATATTCCACCTTATCTTTGTGGGTTTTTAACAAGGTTTAGAGACCCTGTTATGAAAAAAAGCAAGTTTGTTGTTTACAGAATTTTGATTGAATTTACTAATGAATCACTGCAGCTAGGGCTGTTCGATATAACGATATATATTGATGACATATAAAAACGTCTATCGTTTGATTCTACGCTATCGTTTGTTTCGTGGTGTTGCAAAATAAACTGTTTACGGCAATATTTTTTCATTATTTTGATGGTCACTGTAGTGGCTATATTAATTTCTTAAAGTTCTCTCTTTCTCTTACATTTAATATAACCACACTACAGACAGACAAGCGTTTGTTTTTATGCGTTGTCGTTAGCAACAACGACGGTAAAACCACCGCGTGTCCGCTTGTTCCACATAAACCTTTCACAGTAAAGCTCAAGATCCTGTTGAGACTTTTCAAAATAAACTGAATCACGTGAAAGATGCAGAGTGTTTACGGATGAGAAGCAAAAAAGAGCCGTCAGGTGCTAAAAGATAAACCTTAGACTCAAACGTTAGAACAGGCTTTTCCCCGCAGCACGCCGTGTAATAAATACTCACAAAGAAAACGGCGGCCGTTACAACTTATGTCTAAAAATGTATAGTTTCATGCATCGGTTAAAACACTCGACTCCAGCTACACGACGCCCCACTGGAAACACTTCACGCAAGTCGAGCTGCCCAAGATTCACAGAATTTACAGAAAAGGTTACATTTTTGTGATTTATATCGTTATCGGACGATAGATGTCTTAATATCGGGATATGAGATTTTGGTCATATTGCACAGCCCTAACTGCAGCTGTAATACAGTAATTCAATGTGATAAAAATGTGGTAACATTACAAAGCTTATGCTTTATATTTTACATTTTGAACTTAAAGTGCAGTATGACAGAAAACGTTTTCTAAATGTGTCTAAATGTACATTATGTTTAAATTATTTTTAAAACTTGTATGATCTGTTCTCAAAATCTAAATTCTATATTATGACAGCTCTATGGTCTAAGTGACTTTTGATTGAAAGATAATGATTTGCAAGACTTTGCTGTTACCCAGCAGGGTGTGATGTTCCTTCTAAGCAAATGCATTTAAACACCGCAACAGCTGATTCCACCACTTTCCACACTTTCAACCAGAAAGAGAGAGCTTTCTTTTGAGATATCAGCCGGCGTGCCGTTTCGTTGAGATAAACGTTTCTCTCCGACTCGCATGCAGCGGGACTTCTCTAGTTAAGAAAGGGAACTTTTCTTAAAGACAATTTAAAAGCACTATTTTGGAGCGCAGGAGAACTTGCAGTTATTCGTAACCTCCAAAACAAACCTGATCCCGGCCACCCCAGAGATTTGAGTCTGAATTGTAGGTTGTATCTGTAGGCTATTTCTCTTCTCCCTGACATGTTCACTCACATGCTGTCCCACCCTACGCTTCTTAAATCTGTTGTCTGTATCTATAAATAATCCCTGGATGGTTAATGTAAAATGAAGTGTCAGCATTATCAGTGAGATGCTGCAGACATTGCATGCCCGCTGTAGATAATATGACCCATTTCCAGGCTATTGACATTCCTGTCCTGAATGTGCTCATTGGGATGAATCTATAACTGGATTGTGTCTTGTATGTCCTGCAGAGAGTAATAAAGATACACTCAGCTGGATAGTACTGCATAGTTGCACAACTGTGCTATATTTGTCATACGTATAAGAGAAAGGAAATGTATTGTCGTATCTACAAAACATTGTTGTCTTGTATTTGCAGCATTTACTAAGATGATCACAATAAATGGACAAGAGTACCATCTCCAGCTTGTAGACACAGCAGGGCAGGTATGTCTCAATGCGCTGTTTATGAACCTGCCAGTGGTTTTATTGATTTTTCTTTTTTTTAAATGTGTGTCGTAACAGTACATGCTAATTCCCTCACTTCAAATCCCTTTTCCAGGATGAATACTCAATCTTCCCACAGACTTACTCCATAGATATCAATGGCTACATACTGGTTTATTCAGTTACATCAAATAAAAGGTATAGAATTCCCTCCACTTCTCAAAACCAACCTAAATATCTCCTGTGTCCTGCATAATGAGGTGCACTGAAGAAAAGCAAATAAACTTTCCCGTTTCTTCCAGCTTTGAAGTTGTACAAGTTATCCATGAAAAACTGTTGGACATGGTGGGAAAAGTTCAGTAAGTACAACTTTTCATTTTGCTCTTAAAGCCATTTCAAGTCATATGACATAAATCATGCATAAATGACAACATGGCATTTACTTTTTCCTTCAATGCAGAGTTCCAATTATGCTCGTCGGAAACAAGAATGACCTACATATGGAGCGGTAAGCGCTAGCACACACCTAAATTGTACATCCCTCGAGACAATAGGTATGCACATGGGTCAGGGTTTTTTGGTTTGTGTGGAAATTTATATTTGGTTTCTTATTATTTGCTAGCAGAAATGAAAATTTCATGTAAAACACACTGAAATACTGAGTATTTAATATTTAGTTCACACATGTCCCAAATGAAGACAGAAGCCATTTGCACTAAGCCAGGAAGCTGTGTTTAGCACTGTGCTTTCACTGTACACAACACAGAGTCAGTGGATTAGCATACACAAGCAGATTTCTAAGGAATTTAATACTGTGGGATATTTAAAGCAGAGACTGTGGCTTTATTCTGAAAGACAGTATTTGTGTTTTGGTCTGACTCTGCTGTCATCCCTGTGATTTTGCACTCTTTAGAGTAATCAGTTGTGAAGAGGGCAAAGCATTAGCTGAATCCTGGAACGCTGCCTTCATGGAGTCCTCAGCTAAAGAGAACCAGGTAGGAAAAGCTTATTTAACTATCAGTGTGGGAGAAAAAAATAGCCAAATATGGTTACATTCTTCACTCAAAACCCCCAAAAAAATAAATAAATAAAGGTGGCAGTGATAACAAGGTGTGAAGTTTACACATGCTCCCTGTGACTGTGTAGGTTTCCTGCCACAGTACAAAGACATTCGAGTTTGAGTGCCTTTTAAATTGCCCACAGTCATGAATGTACCTGTCTTAGTATGTCAGCCCTGACATCATTTGGCAACCTGTCCGCTGCATATGACGCCTCTCACCCAGTGTCAAGTGAGATCAGCTCCTGCTTGCCTAACCCTGTAGAGCAAAAGCCTGTAGATATAATGGAAGGATATGTGGATGGAAAATTACTGAATTGCTTTCATTGCACAGTGATGGTACACATCCACAGGATTCTTCATTTTCACACTTTGCATTTTCTCTCAGTGGAGACAAAGTTTCTGGTGCTGGATTGTGTTTCAATCAGGTCATCGAGTTGCCCACTCATAGAAGCTCTAGGTTACTTTAATAAAATCAGAGGTGACCTAGTATGACTTGAGACCT